GGAATTATTATACTATTCTCAACTTGTGTATATGTGTAGAAATTTCCATAATAAAACATTAAAGCAGTGAAGACTTTATAGTGTCTGCTTGCTTCCCCACTGCAATCTTCATACACACACAGAGGCTCGTGGGTTTGATGAGGTGAGAGTGATACAGAAACCATTAGCAGGGCACTCAAGAGGCTCCAAGTGCCCAACACATCACCAGGCATCTGGGCTCCAGGAGAGGCAGGTTCTATTTCAGAGCAGAAGGGCCACAGGTGCCCTTCCTTTATATAGATTCTACTTCAATCCGATCCACAAATTTCATCTCTGGAAACACTTCAGCAGTCTACCCCTCACCTCCACTCAAGTTGCATATCTGTTTCTCATGGATGACCATATTTGGGCAGTTACATAGGAGCAAGATTGCCCTTCAGAGTCCCTCACTCCCAGCCCAGAGCCACATGTTTGTGGAATCCTGTAGCAGGATGCTGGAAGAGTATTGATGAAATTCTTCGAGAATGAGGCCACTACTCTGGTTCTCTATCGGGGAATTCTCAAAGGCAGAAGTTCCCAATTCTCCTATCTAATAATTTAAATGGTGTCCCATGCTCCGTTAGATGCAATCATTCCAGAAACTTACCTTATTTAAAATTTTATATTATATAATATTTCAAAAATACACAAAGTGACAAAACAGAATAATGAATTCCTCTGTATCTATCACCTACCTTTAACAGCTATGAATATATTTTACAATCCTGTGCAATCGATACCTCCACTGCTCTTTTCTCTGGAATATTTGAAATCAAATCCCCCAACATCATATATTTTTTTTCTGTAAATATGTCATCATGTATCTCTAACTAATAAGGATATTGCCCATAAATTCCATTTCATTATAACACTTAAAAGTTTACTGTCTACATATAATATCTAATACCTGGTCTATATTCGGATTTCCCTAATTGTCTCATAAATGTCTTTCTACAGTTAGGTTATTAAAGTCAGGATTCAAAGCCCACAGAGTGCATTTTATTGTTAATCCCCTTTTGTCTCTCTTCTTCTGTAAGGGTTCCCTGGCCCCTCTCTGTTTTGTTCTATGCCATTGTTTTCTGGGAAAAACTCAGTCATTTTTTGTGTAGAAAATCATACATTCTGGATTTGCTTTCTTGTGCAGCCTTCCAAGTGGTTGCTCCAGCCCCTGAGGTTATTTCAAATGGACAAATAGAGTGAGGTGATTAGACTCAGGTTCCACTTTTGGGGGAAGACTACCATCGTAGTGGTGCTGGAAGCTCACCACACCACGAAGCACACAACATCTCCTCTCCTCACATACAGTGAACCAAAGTTTGGCCAATTAAATATAAGAAAAAGAAAAAAAATATCAGTGTGCTCATTTGAGTTCTGTCTGATCCCTCCATTATAAAATCCCACATCAGTTTTTCCCACTAACATTTTTCACATCCATCAAAGTCCATTGTCTAGATCCATAATTTTTATTTGAAGTTTTAAAATGTTGTCTTTCTAATCCCACCTTTTCTTCTGTATTCATATACTGGTATTCTTTGGAATGGGTAATTTTCCTTATCAACTCGGATGCCATGAAATATAAACTTGTAGAGATAAGGCATAATAAAACTTGGTTATTTTCATTTAGTTTTCAAATTCTATATTGATGTGTTGATGTCATAATAACCTCTTCTACTGAACATTTTTTAAATCATTAAGAATTGATAGATTTACATATATTTGATAGTTTAGTGTGTTTCAATCTATTCCAAACATTATTTGTTTTATCCAAATGGTTACATCTTAAGCCAGCAATAGTTTCTTCAGAAAACATGTGTGTCTTTTTGTTCTCGTTTTATTTTGAGAAATGTTAAACATATACCTGTGACTTTTTAACAGAATTGGTAGTATCATTTATCTTTCTCCAATATGGGACAATATGAGTTTTCACTTATCTTCTGTATTTTCTGCCCTGTACCTGGATTCAGACATTCTCAAAGTGTTTCTAAGTTCCCTATTTAGTGGAAAAAAATACATTTTTTTACCAGAATCTGGATGTGTGGAGTACACGATTTTATTTGATCTTTAGAGTGACCCTGAAGTATAGTTACTACAATTATCTGGTATTTTTTAGTAAATGAAAAATCTGAAGTTTGGAGAGGTCAACAAATTTAGTCAAGGTTACAGTTAGATAATTAAGATCTTAGAGGTGTTCTACTGGTGAAAGAATGTAGCATAACAAGGATGAATATTTTTGTTCTCTAACAGTTTATAATCAGATTAGGAGATCCACATCTGAGAAACAGTTCACCAACATCTTGAGGTGACTGGGGTCTCATGGTGACAGGAAGTTGGTTCCTGGCATAAAGAACAAGGTGGAGAAACGTTATGAAGAGGTTGCCCTTCATCAGTAAATGGAGCAAGCAGCATATAGTGAGGCATCGGCATTTTATTTTGCATGTTTCCAAAATCAGAGCCTGACAGAAGGCTTGGGTTCTGAAAGTTGATTTGAAACTGACAGAAGTGAGGCGACAGAGAAAGTAAGGCAGGAAAGGACTCCACATCTAGGTATTTCATGAAAAGAAAAGAAAACATGAGTCCACATAAATATGTGAATATTCACAGCAGCTTTAGTCATATTAGTCAAACCTGGAAATAACTCAAATATCCATTACCAGGTAAATGGACTAAAAATGATATATTTGTACAATAGAATACTATCTGGCAATAGAAAAGAACAAATCAATGTGCAAAACAACATAGGTGAATTTCAAAAACATTATACTGAGCTATTTAACTCAGTATAATGTATGATTGTATGTAACTCAATCAAATTGTATGATTTATTTTTGTGAAATTCTAATTTGAAAAACAAATCTATAATGAGAAAAGCCAAATTTTGGTTACCTGGATTGAGGGTCGGGGATGGAGAAAAGTGGGCTGCAAAGAGCATAGGGAGACATTTAGTGTGGCTACATACCTGGTGAGGCTTATACAGGCACTTACTTATGGACATCAAAGTACATCAAATTTTACATTTAAAATGGGTGTATTTAATTTAAGTTGTAACTGAGTAAAGTTGGCTTTAGAAATCTGGGGATATCATCAAGATGACTACCATAGACAATAGGGATAATCTTTGCAGGGGCCTCTGAGAAGCCTAGAGATCCACCTCCCTGCCCCGCCCCCCACCGCCAGCACTGCTTATCAGAAAGATGGGAGGCAGGCACATTTACCCACTGGCTGCATCTCCTCTCCTTTGAGGGTTGCCCTTGGAGGTATCAAATTCCCTGCACTTCTGAGCTGAACCTGCCTGCTTTTACTATTCACCATGGCAAACCTGTGATTTAGCACTGAGTCTTTCCTGTACACCTAACACAGCACTTAGTTGTAGTGTATAATAATTAATAATAATACCATTGCACAATAACAAAGGCAATAACAACGACACATGCTGCTAATTACTTTTGTGGCAACAGCTGTTCTTTCTGAAGATAACAGTGGGGAACTATTGAACCAGGTTTATATATTTTCAGCTCAAACATCAGATTTTTGTTTATGCTTATCTTCACAGGTAACATGAACAAATTGCCTAAGTTCTGAAAGAGCACTATCAAATAAGGACTTGTTTTAATAACACCTGATAAAAATTACTGTTGTGTTTTAAATGTGGAATCTTTACATCATGAATATTTGAGAAGTGCATTCTGCCTAGATAAATAATTAAAGCTAATTTTGAATTGACCTTAAATGTTATTTCTTATTTCTTTATTTCTTATTACTCTAGGGTAACAATTTTATCTATGGTCCTTTACCCTGCACGCATGCCAGCAACTTACATGGACCTCACCATGTCTTAGATGGCATGGTTTTAATTCACCCTGCTGGATTCTGAGCCACTATGATTTCTTAAGTCAAGTTGTTTCATGATTTTTTTAAAGCACAACTCTATGTCATTTATTTCTGTGTCATTTAATTTCTGGATTGCTTTTCAGAATTATTCAACACTGATTTTTGGGGGAAACAACTCCCAGCTGGTTCTCCCTGGCCAAGTGTTGTGAAGTTATCTTCAGAGGGACACTTTCCCATTCTGGTATAATTGCCTATCTACTGTGTTGTATCTAAATATGTATAAACCCACAGAACAATGTTGTGAACTTTGGTACTAGTAGTCATATGTGCTTCAAAGATATTAAGAGAAAAAGTTTTGTTGTTGTTTTCCATACATATTTACCATTTCAGGTGGTTACCCCATTTTAAGAGAAATCTTTAAAAACCACAAAATATTTGGCCGAGAGGGACCAGGCAGTAGGAGGTGAATACCACCTCAAAGGGGAACACATTGGGGAAAACAGGGAAATAGCCAATTATAAAGAGGGGTTTAAGTTATTAGTGTCATCAGCTCACTGGCTGGTCTGAGAAGCTTGGCTCTTAAGCTCCAGAAAGACTCTTGGTGAGAAGAGAGGTGACTGACAGAGTCACTGCGTTCTTCCTCAGCCACCACTGCTCACAGCCTGAAGGATATCAGAATAGTTCGGGATGAGGAACTGAGGCCAAGCAACTTTAATACAGCTGGATTTACTGGGTCCAGAGACTCAAACCCTTGAGGCCAGGCATTGGGCCCTGCAAAGTTCCAGCGTCTGCATGCTCTCACTTTCCCAGGATTCACATGGTGACCCTGATCCTCCCCTGAACATCCATCCTTCCCATTTTTCATATCCTGTTCAAGTCTGAGATAAGAAAGAATAATTTTAATTTTTGTTATTTTTAACCTTTCAGTACACATGCAATAAATATTCCTGGTGGAAAATGAATGCCATACAGATAAGCACCCAGAAGAAAATATAAACCATCCATAGTCCTCCCTACCCCAGAGAAAATCATTTCTAGCATATCTTGTTTGTGAACTTTTCTCATAATGTCCCAGAAATAAAACTTATGATCAAATAAATTTTTCAAATATGTGATAAATATTTGGGGGGGCCCTGCAGTGAAAAAGAAAAAAACTATTTTACCTTACTTCTCTAGTTTATTTGACTACAGAAGTCATTATTTCCCCTGAGAAGACTGCTTACAGGAAGTCTTGTTTTATGCAATATGCTTTGGGAAATGCCAGAATATACCTTAATAAGACCAAACCAAATCTTTCAAGGTGGGCCATAGAAGAAGTTTCTTTCTCTCTTCTCTTCATTTGTTTTATTTTAAAGATTTCCCAGTAATTGTTGCTGTTGCCCCATTCTGGCCTTAGGGAATGCTGCCTTCCATTGTTGGACCCCAGACCAGTGAGAATTTGTTAGGACATTTAAAGTAAAAATTTGACAAAAGACTAAGGGAAATTAAGAAGGAAATGAAGAGTGAGTCAAAACCATGGAGTGATCTGTCTCACAAATAGAATTCACTTATCTTCCTCCTGAGGTACTTCCTGCTGAAGTAAGAACTTGCTAGCAGTCCTGGGTATAACCTCAGCAAACCTGAACTCTCGAAGACACAAGTTCAGAGAACCAAACTCAAGGACAGAGATGTTTCCTGCAACACCAGCTAGTGTCTCTGACTTAGGTCATCTTCATGGCTAATTCCTGGAAATCCCATCCCCTTAAGAGACTGGGGGATTCTGAGGTAAGTGCATCAGCAGGGCCCTTTTACTAATGAAAATGAGGGTGCAAGGAGATCACCCACATTCTCCTGTACCAACATCTCACACTGCTGTGAAATAGTCTATGCAGCAAGAGGTGGATAGCTAAGCCACTATCTGCAATTTGAGTTGTGTTTAAGTAACTTTGACATTTTGTTCCCTTGAAATAACTTTCATCAATAGTTGTGAACTCTTACCTGGCTGATTGCTTTACTGTGTCTGACGAGGTCCTGCCTCTGAACTCAGAAAGGTCTCTCCACTCGGATCTCTGAAATCCCTCAGTCCCACCTTTCCAGCTGCCAGGAGCAGAGTCAAGATCCCCTTCCCATCATACACACTCTGTATCACACATTTTCCAACCCCAACATACCATCTCTTTTTCTTTCTTCTGGTGCCTTTTCCTTCCCGGTGTTCTTAATTTCTATTACCTTACTGTGCTCTTTCTCTTTTTATTTTTCTATGTTTGTAGCTAAGACAGCACTGAACACTTTACTCAAATATAAAATGAGGAGCTTGGGTTAAATAATTTTTAAGGTCATTTCCTCTAGTGGGAGTTATCATATAGTCGCTTAACTTCTCTGGGTTAAATTTTTACTCATTCATCAAAGGAGGAGGTTGAATTGGAAATTTCTAAGTCTTCTTTCTGGCATAAAATTGGATTCCATTGTCATGCAGTTTACCAGATTTCTCCTGTGTGTGTGCATGTGACAGGGATAGAGTGTAATTTGAAGACTGGCCTCAGTGCATACGCTGGGTAGCTGTCTAATCCTTTCTGATGGAAAGCCCTACTCATGGCCTGGTCTCTATTTCACATTCCATCTTAGAGAAGTATATTTTAATCTGCATATATGTAACCTACAGCACAGGGAAATTAGCTCTGGATCTCTTCCTTTCAGCAAATTCAGTTTAGTGCTATGGATACTTCCTGAGTACCAAGATAATCTGGGCTCTGTGTTAGGCCTGGCCAGATTGGGTCTTTTTTTTTTTTAATTTTTTAATTTTTTAAATTTATTTTTTATTTTTTATTTTTTTACAAATAGTTTATTGTCAGGTTGGTTTCCATATAACACTCAGTGTTCATCCCCACAAGTGACCTCCTCCATGCCCATCTCCCCCACACACACCTATCAGTCCTCAGTTTGTTCTCAGCATTCAAGAGTCTCTCATGGTTTGCCTCCCTCTCTCTCCCCCACTATTTTACCCCCTTCTTCTCCCCCATGGCCCTCCGTTAAGTTCCTCCTAATCCTCCTATACGTGCAAATATATGGTATTTGTCTTTGCCTGCTTGACTTATTAGGCTCAGCATAACACCCTCAAGGTCCATCTGGCCAGATTGGGTCTTGAAACATCAGGGAAATGGGGACATGGATGGAAGATTCTACTACTCAGATTCTAAAGGGGAAGTTATGCATCTTGCTTTGCCAGGTAAGAGCAGGTTCTGGCTCTGAATCTCTTATCCATCCTGTGCTTTGTGGGTCCCCTGTATTGACAAGTTTTATTACCCCCAAAGTTATTTCATTTCTGTCATAAACATGGAAAGCTTGGTTCTTCAGAATCCTTGACTTCCAGAATCCAGCTTTCCCTTTCCCACCTGCTAATTAATTACAATAGTGGTAATTAGGCTCATTACTCCTGGAATCACTGTCTGCTCATCATGATTTTTCTGAGTTTCAATTGCAGGTCGAGTCATCACAGCTTAGAACATTACAAATCTGGCATAAAACTGTCTCTTAATCATCAAACCATTTTTGGGGGAAATGTGAGTCCATTTCCCAGGGCACAAGTCAGTTGTCTTTCCTACCAACTGAAACCTGCAGCTCCAACAGATGGGAGCCTCTCTCCATATCTTAGAGCAAGCAGAGCTGGGGCACTCTGGCTCTCCCTCTGGCCCCTACTTAAATCTTTCATAAGCTGTTAGCATGATGAGATGCTTGCAGCCAGTTTATCAAAGTGAATGATTATTTTAACAGAAAACAATTTCAATAATTAAGTAACACAATAATTCATTGAAGATAGGAGATGAGGTTTGCAGAAGTGGAATGCACCTGGACCTCTGGGAATGGGTAAAGCATGCAGGTTTCCTGGTCAGTGAAACCTCCATAGTAAATGAGCCATCCATCTGACCACCAATGTTCAGGATCATCTTGTGGATGTCACTTGGCCTCTGTTTTTAGCAGGTGCTTGTGCAAAGGTCCAGGAAGGCACCACCAAGCCCAAGAATTCTGGTTCCTCTTCCTAGTATAAAAGATAAAACAACAGATTATTTTCATTGAAAAATAATACTATAACTGTGTGTTGGTGATTTCTTTTCAAAAATTAGTTATCACTATCGGGTTTTATTTAAGTAAATGGGCTTGCTTTTGGGAAGTATATCACTGACAGGAGAGAACCCATATTCTGGGTCATTATAGCTATCTGGTTAGACAAGGCACTGACCCCTCCCTGCTCATAAATTCCTGTTTCTTCATATCACCTATGCCCTAGGAAGCTCAGATCCAGGCGTTACTGAACAACTCCCCCACCCCCTTTCTTTTCCTCTGACTGTTCCAAATGCTGAGGGAGCTGAGAGAGGACAGAGGCTAGTGTGAAGGACATTTGGTTTCTGCAGGAGAACCCATTGTGCATCTCTACCCCTTGAAGCCTGTAGCCACTTCCAGAGGGACATGGTTATTACTGTCAGCCCCTCCAAATGCTGAACTTGACAGACATAGGTATTGGAATGGAGGACACTGTCTGTCAGCCCATCTGTCCTTGTTTCTGCCGCTGCATCTCTTCATGCTCCCAGGAGGAAAGCTTTCATTACCTTGCTGCCCTCCCTGGTCTCTAGGTTGGTCATTTGATTATACCCCGTACAATTTACAGCTGCCTTTTGTCTTCATGGCATTAATATCCCTACTATTGTTTGGGCACATTTTAAAGAAGAATTATCATCCTTTGAATAGAATATGAAAGGCACAGCCTATTTTTCTGAATATTATTTATTTTTCCTTTGTAAATCCTGTATATATATGCATAATAGTTATGCCTTGGAGTCTTTGGTCTGTTGATTCATTAGGTCATCTTACAGCTTCTAACTGGGTGGCCTTGAGTCTGTCTCTCCCTGTCTCCATCAAGAGATATGCAGGCTCAGGGACAATCCCCTATATGGGACTATGGGATACGATCCAGTAAACCACTAGGAAACCCTTCAGCCTTATATATCTTTTGTATTTATTTTTTATCTATTGATACTCTATGTGGCAATTTGGTTAGGGGATGTAGGAATATATAAATCCCTTCTTATATTACCCTCTACTCCTCTACATGAGTTCTTTAAAGGAAATATATGGATATGCTAACAGTGGCAAGAGAAATTAAGGTAATATTTTGTCATTTTTTTAAAAAAATTTTTTATAGTTTATTTATTTTTGAGACAGAGAGACAGAACATGAGTGGAGGAGGGTGAGAGAGAGAGGGAGACACAGAATCTGAAACAGACTCCAGGCTCTAAGCTAGCTGTCAGCACAGAGCCCGACGCGGGGTTCCAGCCCACGAACCGCAAGATCATGACCTGATCCGAAGTCGGACACTTAACCGACTGAGCCACCCAGGTGCCCCGGTAACATTTTGTTATTAATAGAATTTTGTTTGAAAGCCCAAATTCAGAAGTGTAGGATGGATCCATGGGGAATTCTTTTTTTCAAGACTGGTGAACTTGGACTAGAGCCAAAGGCTAAACAGACTTCTGTTTCTCATGTCAACATCAGAATCTCGGATCTTGCCAACAAACAGGTTTACTTCTTGTGTACCTGTGATTTGAGAGACTTTTCCTCTTGTTTTAAATCAGTCTTCATTGTGCTCTCAGAATGAGAGGAGAATTACCAATGATTTTGGCTATCTTTTAGAGTGGATCAATAGTTCTAAATATTGGCTGCACATAGAACCATTGGAGGAGCTCAAATAAACAAAAACAAAAACAAACCAGTAAGACCTCATCCCTTTTCCAGAAATTCTGTTTAACTTGACTGAGCTAGAGCCTGGACTTTGTTGATTTTATTTTCCAACCTTGAGAATCTTCTAGACTACAAATTTTCTCAGCATTAGTGAGCATCAGAATCATTCAAAAATGTTTTATCTGTTTTGCTGCCTAAGACCCACTTCAGGTCTACCAAATCCCAAGTTCTGACAGTGGAACCAAACACTTATGTTTTAGTAAAATTTTGTTAGGCAAATGTGGTGCACCTCCCAGGTTAAGACCCATTGATTTATGCCAAAGTCTTTAAGTAAAATCTGAGACTTAGAGAAGTAAAATGTATTACATAAAGTATATTATATAATAAACAAATATGAGAGAGGTAGTATTTTATATTATTTAAGCTAAAAATAAAAACAGTTCACTCATTTCCCCCATGCCATGGCTGCCACCACTAATAATCACCAGTCTGTTCTCTGTATCTATGAACTTGGTTTTCAATTTTGTTTTTAATTTAGACTCCACATAAAGAGAGATGATATGGTATCTGTGGTTTTCTGACTTATTTAACATAATACCCTCATGATCCATCCGTGTTGTGCAAAAAGCAACATTTCCTTCTTTTTTTCTGGATGAATAATATGATTTTTGTTTGTTTGTTTGTTTGTTTATTTCCATAAATTGAAGGTTTGTGTCAACCCTGTGTCAGGAAAGTCTGTATATATACATAATTTTTAAAAAATCTATCCATCCATTGATGGATACTTAGATTGTTTCTGTGTCCTAGCTATTGTGAATAATGCTGCGATTGATGTGGTGATGCAGTTATCTTTTCAAGTCAGTGTCTCCATGTTCTTCAGATAAATACCCAGAAGTGGAATTACTTGGACAAATGGCAGTTCTACTTTTAATTTTTTGAGGAATCCTTACAGTGTTTTTCATAGTGACTGCACCAATTTATATTGCCACCAACAGTGCACATTGGTTCCCTTTTCTCCACATCCAAGCCAACCTTCGTTATTTCTTGTCTTCTTGATACTAGCTATTCTGACTGGTGTGGGTGAATGTCTCATTATGGTTTTGACTTACATTTCCCTGATAATGAGTGATGTTGAATATCTTTTCATGTACCTGTTGGCCATCTGGATGGCTTTGGAAAAGGGCCCATTCAGATCATCTGCTCATTTTTTAATCAAATTGCTGGTGTGTGTGTGTGTGTGTGTGTGTGTGTGTGTGTGTTGACTATTGAGTTGCATGAGTTCTTTATATATACTGAATATTAGCCCCTTGTCAGATACAGACACACCTTGTTTTATTGAACTTCACTCTATTGTGCTTTGCAAATATTGTGGGGTTTTGTTTGTTTGTTTCTATAAATTGAAGGTTTGTGTCAACCCTGTGTCAGGCAATTCTATTGGCACCAGTTTCTCAATAGCGTTTATTCACTTCAAGCCTCTGAGTCATGTTTTGGTAATTCTCATAACATTTCAAACTTTTTCTCTGTTATTCTGTTTGTTATGTGATCTAATCAGTGATCATGACTTACTGAAAACTCAGATATGGTTAGTGCTTTTTAGCAATAAAGTATTTTTAATAAAGGTGTGTACATTGTTTTTTAGGCACAATGCTATTGAACACTTAATAGACTAACAGTATAGTGTAAGCATAACTTTTATGTGCACTGGGGTATGTCTGCATTTGATTTGCAAATATCTTCTCCCATTGAGTAGGGTGTCTTTTCATTTTATTGATGGTTTTCTTTGCTGAACAGAAGCCTTTCAGTAGCTGTAGTCTTGTTTATTTTCACTTCTGGTGTTAGATTCTAAAAACATTGCCAAGACTCATGTCAAGGAGCTTACTGCCTTATGTTTTCTTCTGGATGTGTTTTGTTTCAGGTCTTATGCTCATCCATTTTGGGTTCAGGTTTTATTTTCATCCATTCTGGGTTAATTTTTGTGTATGATATATGATAGTGGTCCAGTTTCTTTCCCTCCCTCCCTCTCTTTCTTTCTTTCTTTCTTTCTTTCTTTCTTTCTTTCTTTCTTTCTGCATGTGAATGTATAGTTTTCCCAACACCACTTATTGAAGACACTGTCCTTTTCCTACTGTATATTCTCAACTCTTTTGTTGTAAATTAATTAATTGACCATATATGTGTGAATTTATATTGAGCTCTATTATGCTCCATGAATCTATATATCTGTCTTTATGCCAATACCATACTGTGTTAATTTCTATTGCTTTGTAATAGAGTTTGAAATCAGTGTGACACTTCCAAATTTATTCTTTTTTCTCAAGAACTTTTTTTTGGCTATTCAGATTCTTTTGTGGTTCCATACAAATTTTAGGATTGCTTATTCTATTTCTGTGAAAAATGTAATTGGAATTTTGATAGGGACTGCATTGAATCTATGGATTGCTTTGGGTAGTACAGACATTTTAACAATATTAATTCTTCCAATCCATGAGAATTTATTTGTCTCTTCTACAGTTTTTTCCACTTAATATCCTGCAGTTTTCAACATACAAGTCTCTCACTTCCTGGTTAAATTTATTCCTAGGTCTTTAATTCTGTTGATGCTACTATAAATAGGGTCATTTTCTTACTTTCTATTTGTGATAATCTGTTATTAGTATAGAGAAATGCAACATATATTTATGTATTGATTTTGTATCCTGAAACTTTACTAAATTCATTTATTAGTTCTAACAATTTTTTGGTGGAGTTTTTAAAGGTTTCTATGTAATAGTTGACCATTGAACAACATAGGCTTTGAACTGTGTGCACTCCTTTATACATGGGTTTTTAAAAATAAATACAGTACAGCACTATAAAATGTGTTTTCTCTGCCTTGTGATATTTTAATATTTTCTTTTTTCCACCTTACTTTATTGTAAAAATACAGTATGTTAATATATAACATACAAAATATGTGTTAATTCACTGTTAGAAGTAAGGCTTCCAATAAACAGTATGTCATTAGTAGTTACATTTGCAGGGGGTGGGGTGTCAAAAGTTTTATATGGATTTTTGACTGCACAAGGTGTCAATGTGTCTAACCTGTAAATTGCTCAAGGGTCAACTTGATAATATCATATCATCTGCATATGGTGACAGTTTTGCTTCTTCCTTTCAATTAGTTGTCTTTTACTTTGTTTTCTTTCCTAATTTCTCTAAAACTTCCCATATTATATTGAGTAGAAGTGGGAATAGCTGTTTTCTTCCTGACCTTAGAGAAAAAAATTTCAGCTTTTATCATTGAGTATGATGTTAGCTGTAGGCATA